AGGCATTAGATTCTCATAGGAGCACTGGCCCCTGGTGCCAAAAAAGTTGGGGACTGCTGCTTTAGAAAACGAGCTCCTTAACAGTAAGATCTGTGCTTTTCTTTTGCATCCTCAGGGTCTAGAACAAAACTCAGTACATCACAGTAGCTCAATAATAGTTGGATAAATAATTGAGTCTTCTCTCAGCAGGGAAGTAAGAGGGTAGGGACAAAAATTAGGTAATAATTATTATAGCCAATATTTACTTGATGCATACCAGGCACTGTTCCACATTCTTTATCATGTATCATCACGTCATTCAATACACACAGTAACCCCATGAGGCAGCATTGCAGGTAGTGTTGAACAGGAAGCAGATTCTGAGACAAAGTTTAGGGTGCAGGATATTCATTATGAAGAGCCTCTGGGATCAACATGCATGGAAGGGTGGGGAAGGAAGCAAAGTTGGATGGAGAGAATTGAGCCACAATGCGGGCTCAACAGCAGCCTCAGCCAATCCCATGGGGAGCTCTGGGACCAAAACAATCCATCTGAGCTGTCTTATGTTAGACCAAAGTGACCAAGCCTTTATACCTCCTTCCACCTCGGTAAGTCATTAGATGTGGGCGTCGTGGGCAGGCATGATCTTGGGTCAGGCTGCTCTCTGCGTGGGCAGCCCCCAAAGAGGCCGTTAGCTGAAGGCTGTAGGCCAAAAGCATTCCCACCAGCCGGGCATCTTAGTAGCACATTTCCGTGTCCCTCACGGGTAGCTAATGTTATTGACCCCTTGACCATACAGATGAAGAAATTGAGGCACAAACACTTTAGTTAATAGCCAGTCAGTTGGGTCAGATAGTGAGGGCCAAACCAGGATCAAACAATGACAGTCCGGTTAGAGAGCCTGTGTTCCTGATGACTACCGCATACTCTTGAATAAGGTGTGGATCATTGTAGCAGTGAGCTCTGGCCCCATGCACACCCAAAATCCTAACACTGGAAAGGGTGAATTTATCCTTGCATGCATGGTAGTTCGCCTTTATGAACTATCTCTGCAACCAGGAATGGAGAAGACACTGTCAGATGTGATACATGTAGAAAAATGTTGACACATGTTTTCACCCAGCATTATGATAGGCACCTTAAAGGATATAAAGGAAGTATATAAAGGAACCAGAACATAGTTTCTTCTCATGAGAAGCTCAGAGTTTCGGCAAGGGGATGAACCACAGACACATGAAGTAATTATTGGGAAAATCCCAGAACTGTCAATGAGTACGTGGCAGATGATTGCTATGTTGAATAATAAATAGTAAAACAGGCAAAGGGCAAGCAAGCCTTTAACAAAACAGTGCTCTATTTTTACAAAGTTCCACTCCCATTAATGCCAAATGACTGTGGACCTTGGAACCCAAGATAATGATAAAGTATAACCTAAGTGTAAAAGGAACTAGACATACAGGAGTTGGAAAGGGCCAGCAAGCCTGAGTGCAAAGAAGTTTCCAGGGCAAATTAAAATGTCCAGCTTTTGATGAGGCTTCATCTTCTCTACCACTAAACTACCTTAAATTTGTACATTACCATATGTGGCTCTTGGGTGACGATAAATTTTAAATTTTAATGTTATGTAAAACTAAACACAATGCACAATGTCCCTGTCTTCATGCAATTTACATTCTAGTGGCGGAACCAAATAATTCACAGCAAATATAATGTTTAAGGTTGTGGTAATGTTTTCTTCCAAGAAATCTTCTGAACCCCCTGGTTTTCTTCTCCTTGTCAGTGCTGCATGTCTCCATAAAACTTTTTTTTTAAAAATCCTAGCAGTTACCACCTTGTTTGTCTATCTTCTTTGTCTGCTTACCTTATCTGTCTGCTTTGGGAAGGCAGAGGCTATTTTTCTTCTTCATTGTTGAATTCCTAGCACCCAGCATAGTATCTGGCCCCAAATCCCCCTTCTCATGTGGTTACTGGTTACAAGTAACTTTACTGACTACTTAATATGTTCCAAGCACTTTATGTGAATTATTTAATCCTCACCACAAGACAAGTACTGCTATTAGTTCCATTTACATATGAAGAAACTAAGGATTAGAGAAGTACTTTGACATAGATCTGGTAGGTAGCAGGGCAATAATTCAAACCAAGCCTGTCTGCCAAACCTTACATTTAACCACAATGCTAAACTATTAGCTAAACATTGATGGTACTCATTAAACAGTTGCAGAATGAATGAAATATTAAAAGTTCTTATAAGGAATATTCTACTCAAAATACCAGTAAAAATAAACCACAGTATTCTTCTATTGTTCAATTTTTAAGTGCTCTCACCCATAGAAATGATAGAAAAAAAATCACCTGTAATCTTACCATTCAGATATGACCACCATTTTACTGTAAATCACAAGTAACCCATCTCAGTTATCTATTGCTGTGTAACAAACTCTCCCAAAACCTAGTGGCCTGAAACCCTGATTTATTTTTCATGAATCTCTGGGTTTATTGGGACCAGCTGGGTGGTTCCTCCGCTCTGTGTGGTGTAGCTGAGGATACTCGTGTAAACTTCACTCAGCTGGGACTTTAGCTGAGGTGGGAACACCCAGAATGGCCTCTCATCCTCAGGAGCCTCTCTCCACACAGCCTCTCATCCTTTCAGGGATCCAACCTGAGCATCTTTGCTGCATAGTGGCTAGATTCCAAGATAAGAGGGACCTGCCAGTGCTCTTAAAGCTTGGACATGCACTGAACGTCTTCCATTGCACTTTAGTAGGCAAACCCAGGCACAAGGCCAACTAAAATTCAAGAATAATAGACTCCTCCTCCTAATGGAAAGAGCGGCATGTGCACACAGGGATGGAAAGGCTCACTGGCTGTTACGAAAACTATCCACCACACTATCTGATTTGCTAAACACAAAGACAGTTAAGTTGTTGGCCATTTCTGCTACAAATAATCAGAAAAACTGAATTCAAAAGTAACAAATGCAAAGTACATGGTCTTTGTCCATATAAGAATCTGGTAAGTAGGTTACCTAAATAAGCTGACAATTGCATGTGTACAGGGGAAGGTAGAAAGCAGAGAGGATCATATTTAAAACTCAATATTGGAATGAAAGAAATTGAAGAAATCAGATCCTAGACAAAGAAAATGATTAAAAATGTTGTGAGAAGTATTCTACAATGCCTCTACAGTTAACCTGAGTATTAACTCTGAGTGTGACAGGTGATTAAAACACATTATTCGTCCAATCTCTCTGAAGGTCAAATAGGTGGAGACCCGTGACTAGGCAGAGTGATACTTCAGTATGCATAACTGCAGAAGCAGCAAAGAATGCATACCATATCCTAAGAAATGACAAAATCAAAACCTGAAAACCCAAATCTCTTGCCAAGGAGCAAGTATGAGACCAAAATGGTAGCCTCTTCCTCACTCTGCTCTGAATGGTGTAGGAGGCTGAAATCTCAGTTCCAGTCATTGCAGTCATAGGGAAGTCACCGGGTTGAATGGCCCAAGGACATAAACAGGCTCCTGGACTTGTCTATCTCCTAATAATGCCTAAAGAGAGCAGATAGTGCCTTTCAATTACCACCTCTCTTCCTCATCTCCACTGCCTCCACCTTATTTGTCCTTCATCACCTCTTGGATTTTCACAGGACTCCTGACCAGGGTCCCTCCTAATCTCTACCTGCCCCAGGCCATCTTCCCCATAGCTGCCAGTTACCTTGCGTTAACACCCATTTCCTAGCTCTAAAAAAAAGGCAAGAAAAAAAAAATAAAAGGCCAGAGATAGGTGTAGTGTTATGATTAGGAAAAAGGCTTATATGTCATGATATAGACTTTATCCTGATTGAGGTATCTATTGAACAGACAGCAGGGGGATCAGGAGCAAGCCTGGAGAATATGAGATCACAAAACTGCAGTAACTCTGCTAATAAAGAGTGCAAGTGTGAACCACGCCAGGAGCAGAGAAGAGACAGAGTAAAGTTATAGAGTATAAACGAAGTCATATCAATGATAAATGGAGACTTCCAGAAAACAAGTGAGAGATGAAATCACGATCTAAGTTTCCAACTTGAGTAGACAGAATACCTTTCACCAAGATAGCTATACAGGAAGAGCAGGTTTGGGAGTCATCAGAAACTTCCAAGCAGGATAGCTAGTTGAGAATAAACAGGTTAGGTGCAAGGTAAGAGGTCTGGACTAGATACTAAAAACCAGAAAGGGGAACAGATGAAGTATATGTGGACAGATTCATGCAGAAAGAGCATCTAGTAAGAAAAGAAATAAACTCTAGAGAAACTGAAGGTTTCAAGAGTTGGAAAGCCACAAGTAACTTTTACATCTCACAAATCAAAAACTGAAAAGCAGAATATATTGTCTACTATTTACCAAAACGATTTAATAAGATAGGAAAGGTCATCCTCAAGCAGAGATTCTCCACTAGGAAAACATGCCCTTATCTCCAAGGGAAAATAGTATATCTGATTTTCTAACCAACTAGAGAAAACAAAGGTCTATAATCAAACTAGATGGAAGACCTATGCCCAAAAAATATACAAACAAAACCACCACCCCTTGCAAAATAGGCCTAAAGCTTACAAAAAGAGGTCCTAAGAGGTACAGGGGCTGGCAGGGTCCAGTCACAACCAACACTCCCAAAGTGCTTATTCACCAAGTTACCTTCTGATTAGAATACAGTTTGTCTATAGAAATTGTACTGATCTGCCAACCTGAGTATCCTGGTCAACTTGATACCTGTTGCCTTTCACTATAAATTAGCAGGCATTTTGTTTCATATGAATCCATTCCAAAGAGAGGTCAATTTTCAAATGACAGACTCACTTTTGCTATCTCCAAGGCTATGCGCCAGGCTGTGTAAGGAAATATTACCTAGAGGACTCTGGTAACCAGATAGAGGGCTTATCCTGGAGGCTCCCCAGTCTCCCTTCAAGCTTTCCCCTAGAAATATTGAAAGCACTTTTTTTCTTTTACCAAAAAATTAAGATGTGATTGCAAACAAAGAGTATGATTCATTATCTTTATTTTGAGTTGTAATCTATTATTACTTCAAAAAGATCCACTTCAGAAACATCCAATGGATGACTTACCATTAAAAAAGTCATCAATGTATGATTCATCATATAGAATACACAATAAATTATATTTACATGCAATGACTAGACTATCACACACACAAGGTAAAAAAATACCGTATTTTATGTACATTTTTTAAGATTTACATTTTCATATAGTTTATAAAGTTAAAAAATTCTCTGTACAAAATTTCACGTGTACAGAGTTTATAAATCCCTATTCTCATGGATGTACCACCACACAGATATGCATAAAACCATAATACTACAGTTTTTTTTAACTTCATTTTACTCTTGGCATCCATATACTAATACCATTATTTTTGAAATGTGAATTACAAAGAAAACATAATCATGCAGACTTTAAGAAAATTAGATAAAATGTGCTACTAGATCAACATTTATCAATTCCATAGTTACCCAGTTCTGTTCAACTTCCTGTAATGCTTTCATACAGGTGCATGCAAAACTAGCAGATTATGGATTGTTTTAATAACATTAAAATAATACTATAGTCTGACAATACTCAGACATTAGGAATGCAACTATCTAACAACCATAGCCTGTTGATTATTTCTGCTTTAGCAGAAATCTCAACTAACACATTACATACTAAAATTCACAGAAATGGCAATATTATAATTCCTAAGTTTATGGAGTCTGCATCAGATAGTAATTGTTAAAAAAAAAAGTGTTTGACATTTAAGCGTATATTCTCTCTTCTGAGCATGGGGAAGCAGGAGAGGGAGATGGAAGATGAACCACTGAAGGATTATCCAGTCCCTGCTAAGGGAGCACTTGCACACTCCCAATCTGTTTAAATAAAGACACCTGAAGGCTTTATAAAAAGTTTAAGACTAGCTACACTATTCTTCTTTAAAAATTCTTGAAAAGTAATAAATTGAAGGTATGAGCACCTTCCCTCCTTCCCCAAGTAGCTAAATATCAACAAGAAAAATAAAGTGCCAACGTCTAAAGTATTGTTAATTGTTTAATAGGCACTAACCCATTTGATGGCTTAGGATTAAATATGAAAATAGGCCAGATCTGATCTGAATAATAAACAGAAGGTAGGTATTCCAGTCTATGCAATTCCTGCCTACATGGGGGCTGGACCAGAAAACTACCTACTCCCCCATTTATTGCTTTGAAACCTGTACACACACTTTGCATTCTGACACAGAATAAGATTTCTAAGATGGAAAGCACAGTGTCTGTGCCACTTTCAAGTTGAAAAAGAAAGTGCACTCTTGATCACTGGGAGGAGAGCTGCTGAGACTCTCTTCTCCGCAACTCATATCTTCACAAGAGTCCTCACTAAAGGGAAAAAAAAGAGACAAAGAAGAGGATTCCATGATTTAGAATACAATGAAATGTTTTATAGGAAAAATAAAATTGCTAAACAAGTATCTACATTCTCACGATTCTTATATTCAAAATTTAAACTTTACAGAGAAACTTTAACTTGTAAGGACTTCCTAAAGTGAAGTCTATTGTAATCGTCTTAGAAAATACAGGTGGTTAAGAGGTTTAAACGAATTACTACCTGCCAAACTATTATTCTTGTACCAATTAATATCAGCAACCAACTGTAGAATTCTAAGTATTTTAAACCCAATAAATGCTGACGAAGGACAACGTAGCTCCTATCACATGGTTTTGATGTCTTTTTTGCATCAGTAATTCCATCACTGATACTTTCAAGTATCAAACCAAGAAACCGACAAACTGTGAAAACAGAACTT